AAAAAAAAAAAAAAGAAAGAAAGAAAGAAAGGAAGAGAGAAAGAAAGAAAGAATCTTAGGCCTGCCAGAATTAGTGAAACTCTGCAAGCAGATATTAATTTTGGTGGCAAGTGGTGTGGTGGTGAAGTCACTGGACTCCCACATGACCTACCTTGTTTCAAGTCCTGGACCTGGTGACTTGCTTTCCTGCTTTCTCACTTTTTCTTTTTCTCTCTCTCTGTCTATTTCTGGTGAGTACATGTGCCCTATAGCAAATTATAAAATAATAACATTAAATAAATAAATAATTGTAAAAAATAAGTTTACTTTTGGTATGACTGTGCTACTAGGAAAACGAAAAGAAATAATTATGAAAAAAATCAGTACTAGTTCTTTAAGATAGCTATTTTCTTTTCTTTCTTTCTTTTCTTTTTTTTTTAAAGAGGTTTTTGCTATAGGGCAGGTGCACTCGCCAGAAAGACAGAGAGAGACAGACAGACAGAAAGCAAGAAATCACCCCCAGAGGGGATGGCCACACCGCAATCTCTTCTCCTCCATTCTCCTCTCGGGATCTTGAGCACACACGCACACGCGCCCAGAGTGAGTTGACACCACCAGGTCCGGTACTCGAACCACAGTCAAGCACATGAGAGTCCAGTGACATAGTCATTATGCCAACTGCTGGTCCAAGAGATAGCTATTTTCAACATTTTCCTTATTGTGACAACAAAGAAAGAGGGGCAAAGTGTTTATTCATGACTTTCTTTTTTTTAGAGAGAGAGATTTTGCTATAGGGTGTGTGCTCTTGCCTGAGAGACAGAGAGACAGAGACAGAAAGTGAGAAATCACCCACCAATGGGGATGACCACATCGTCTCTTCTCCATTCTCCTCTTGGGATTTTGGACACGCACACATGCCCAGTGTGATTTTCAAGCTGCTGGGTCTGGGACTTATACCTCAGTTGGCCATGTGGGAGTCCAGCGGCATAACTGTTTCACCATCTGATCCCAGAATGTTTCTTCTTTTACCTTTTAGATTTTTACCGCAGGACACATGCATTCACCCCTCAGGGGAGATGGATGAATCCATGAATATTTCCTTATCCATTTCCTCACTGTCTAGGTTTTTCTACAGCTCCCCATAGAGAATAACTTTGCCATGGTTGTCCACACAAAAGCGGCTGGCCGGACCAGTATCAAAGTCAGTGTCCACTGTATGAACAGTTCCTCTGGGCAGTTTGAGAGGAATGTCTTGGAATTGTCTGATGAAGTTCAGATCCTGGTAAGCTCCCAAACCTAAAACTTGTTTTGTGTATCAAGGAGAAGAAAGTTATAGTCTGTCATCGTTCATGAAAAGCTTAGTATAGCTAGATATAGAGAAATTGCTAGAGAAATTCCTGTAACATGTTCATAGTTCCTAGAATGTTGTCATTCCTACTTCTATACTGCACGGACATTAGAAACTAGAGCACACATGGGACTAGCAGTTAGCATAATGGCTATGTCGCTGGACTCCCATGTGGTCGACCACGGTTCGAGTCTCAGACCCGGTGGCTTAAAACTCATGCCAGTCGCATGTGCGTGCACGCCCAAGATCCCAAGAGGAGACTGGAGGAGAAGGGATTGCGGCGTGACCATCCCCCCTGGGGGGTGATTTCTCACTTTCTTTCTCTCTCTGTCTCTCTCTGTCTGTCTGACAAGAGCACAGGCCCTATAGCAAAAAAAAAAAAAAAAAAAGAACCTAAAGCACACACACTCCCTCGAGCTCCCCATACTATATACACAGCATATGAACCCCATAATAACTAGAGAGGGGTTCATTTCTGAGTGTCTCCACCTAACAAAGACATTATGTTATAGTCCATGTGGACATAGTTAGAGTGAAATATAATCTTTACTTCGAGTAAGGTGTAAGAGTATGAATAGTTTTTATAGATGCTCTCAGGGTGAAAGGTAAATTGACCCTTTTGTTTTTAGAATTCAAAAGACAGGTTATCATTTCTGTGGGGCAAGTAAGTTTCTCTACCTCTGAATTTAAGATTGCTTTTTTTTTTCCTTTTTCTTTTCTTTCCCTTTATTTTAGCATTGGTTCTCGGATTCAATGTGGGGTAGAGGTAGGAGCCCTTTACTAGAAGGCAGAAGACCTGGATGGTGTCCCATGCTAAGTTAATACTATAGGTTCTGTGTTCCCAAATCTCATCTCAGGTTACCAGAACTGAAATTCGAAATTTTTAAGTTATTTAATAACTAATGTTTAAGTAATAAAAAGGATGCACTAAGTGTAAACTTTACCACATGCCCAGTCCCTCATAGTCAGAAATGGGAACAGTGTTAGGTTATATGTTCTAGAGTACCTTGATATGTTTTAAGTGCCTGGTTTTTGTTTTAGGAACACTTTTAGATGAGCTAGGTGTTAGGAGGACTGTTAGTTTGCAGTTGTTTATTAACATGTAATCCCTTCGGAGTTATACTGACGTCTGTGTGTGAGTAAAGGTCGTAATTTGTCCTCTCTCATTATAGGTGTTTGAAAAACTCCAACTTTTCTACCCAGAGTGCCAACCTGAGCAGATTCTGATGCCCATGAATTCTCAGCTCAAGCTCCATACTAACAGGTAAGGATTTTAAGGGAGAAGAAAAAAGGGCCAAGTTCTAACTTCAAGGTTTTTTGTTTGTTTGTTTACTTTAAGTATTTTCAGGAAAACATTCCACATGGAAAGAACAACCATTGCCACTTCCCAGTTTTTATTTTTTTAAAGTTTTGCTACAAGGTGTGGGTGCACTCTCCAGAGAGAGAAAGAGAGAAAGGGAAAGCGAGAAACCTCCCTCTAGTCTCCTCAGGATTTTGTGCACATACGCACATCCAGCATGACTCTCAAGCCTCCAGGTCCAGACTCGAACTATGCAGTGGGGTAAGTGGGATCCAGAGCTTGAGCCTCCGTGCCACCTGCTGGCCAAACACTGCCCCGTTTTTTTTTTTTTTAAACTTAAGGTGAAATTCGTATAACATGAAACTTTGTCTAAAGTTTGTTTGTTTCTGCTATAGGGCATGTGCTCTTGCCAGAGATGGGGGAAGGGGTGAGGAACACCCCAGGGAACTGGCCATACCTCAGTCTCTTTTCTATTCTTCTCTTGGGATTCAGGACATGCACACACATGTGCTTGGCCTGCTTTCCAAGCTGCTGGGTCCAGGACTTGAACCACAGAATCAGCTATGTGGGATACCTGCACACCATCTACTGGCCCCATTTATTTCTTCAAAGAGAGAGAGAGAGGCACCCCCAATAAAGTCTTCACACCATGACTTACTCCTAATCTCAGCCAGCAGGGATCATGGGTGTGTACAGGCTCCGGGAGATCGCAGGATAAAAATCTAGGACTCTCCCCACACGGGTCCAGTTACATTACTACTGTGCCGCTAGCTCACCTGAAAATATTTTAAAGTGTAAAATTCAGGGCCAGCCAGCAGCATAGTGGTTAAGGCGGCTAGACCCCACATGGCTGACCATGTTTGAGTCTAGGACCTGGTAACCTGAAAAACACACTGGGCATGTGTGCATGTGTGCCCAAAATCCCAAGAGGAGAGTGGAAGAGAAAGGATTACAGCATACTCATCTTCCCTGGGGAGTGCTGTCTGCCTGTCTCTCTCTGTGTCTCTCTCTGACAAGTACACTCACCCTATAGCATAAACAAAACAAAAAACTGTAAAACTTGGGGCCAGCAGGTGGCACGGTGGTTAAGGCACTGTATTCCCACATGGCTGATCACAGTTCAAGTCCAAGATCTGGCAGCTTGCTTTCTTACTTTCTCTCTCTCTCTGTGTGTCTCTTTGGTGGACACATGTGAGCAAATTAAAAAAAAAGTAATAACTGGGGCCAGCAGGTGGCATGGTGGTTAAGGGTACTAGACTTCAACATAGCTGACCATGATTTGAGCCCTGGACCTGCCAGACAGACAGAGAGAGACAGAGAGACAGAAAGTGAGAAATCACCCCCCAGGGGGGATGGTCACACCGCAATCCCTTCTCCTCCAGTCTCCTCTTGGGATCTTGGGCATGCACGCACACGCGCCCGGCGTGAGTTGAAGCGACTGGGTCCGGGACTCAAACCACAGTCTACTATGCAGGAGTCCAGTGACATAGCCATTACTCTAACTGCTGGTCCCTAAATAAAATAATTCTTTAAAAATAATAATAATAACAATAAATAAAGGGACCAGCAGTTGGTGTAATGGCGATGTTGCTGGACTCCCATGTAGTTGACCACAGTTCGAGTCCCAGACCTGGTGGCTTAAACTCACACCGGGTGCATGTGTGTGCGTGCTCAAGATCCCCAGAGGAGAATGGAGAAGGGATTGCGGCGTGGCCATCCTCCCTGGGGGGTGATTTCTCGCTTTCTGTCTCTGTTTCTCTCTGTCTTTCTGGTGAGCGCACATGCCCTGTAGCAAAAACCTCTCCAAACATAAAATAACAATAAATTAAATTAAATTAAAAGTAATTCTAGAAAAATTAAAACTCAGTGGCATTTAGTACATTCACAATATTGTTCAATCATCACTTCTCTAGTTCTAAAACTTTTATAACCACTACTGCCTTTAAGCAGTCTCTCCTATCCTCCAGGGGCTAGAAGGATAGCCAATCTGCTTTTTGTCTCTATGGTGTTAACTGTTCTGAATATTTTATATAGGTGGTCTCATAAAATATCTGATTTTTTATGTGTTGGCTTATTTCCATTAGCATGTTTTTGAGATTTATCCACATTGTAGCATGTATCAGTACTTCATTCTTCTTTATATCTGAACAATATTCCATTATATGGATATAGTAAAGTTTATCCACTCATCAGAGATGGATATTTGAGTTGATTCACCTTTCAGCTTTTAGAAATAGTGCTGCTATAAACAAACTGGTGCATGTATTTGTTTAACTATCTGTTTCCAATTATTTTAGCTGAATAATTTTTAAGGATAAATATGTAATCAGATTTGATATTTTTAAGATTTATTTTATTTAACTTTATTATTATTAGTTTCTAGTTCGATCAGCCAGAGAGAGAGAGAGAAGGTAAGAAAGCAAGCCACTAAGTCCCAGACTTGAACCATGATTGACCATGTGGGAGTGTCCAGTGTTTTAACTACC